CCAAGGCGTCTCGTTCGTCAGCCGAAGCAGAGTATCTGTTACACGCTATGTTTTCTTACGTGAAAGTACGTTAAAGTTTCGTTCGTAAGTTAATCGACGTAAGCTCGGGAATGCGATTATTTTGAGATTATAAGCATTATGATATTTCAAACAAGTGATAAGTGAATTCGTGAAGGTGAGAGAGTAAGCAAATCGAAGAAAATGAGTTTCGTCGAAGTTTGACATTTTGAGGTACAAGCTATAATACCTCGTATTTATGGACTAGTGTCATACAAGGTACCACATGACCATGAAGGTAAGATGTATAAAGTTGTTAAAAGTGAGTAGTATTTTAAGTAATTTAAGATAATTTTTAATTATGTGGGTAACTGGTTAATTATTGGTTAACGGGAGATTAACTAGTCAATTAAAAATTGGTGGTTAATTAATTAAGAACCTTGGATAAGACCAAGGAACCCCAACGTAGCAGCCCAAGTAAAATAAGATTCATTACATTAGGTGACCTAATTAGGGGCCTTTAGAAAAGGATTAGTGTTCACCAGTTACCTTTCTAGTTCACAAAAATCAATTGCTCATCTCATAAGAAAAGGTTTCAGCAAGGATAAATTTTGCAATAGCAACGTTGTTAATTGCTCATCTCTTAAAGAAAAAGCTTTAGCAAGGATAAATTTTGTAAAAGCAACGTTATTAATTGCTCTCATCTTAAGAAAAAGCTTCAGCAAGGATACTTTTACAATGGCAACGTTATTGCTTCAAGCATTTCATACGAAGACTATTTAATATTATAGCAACGTGGGATTTGCGATTCTAAGGGAGTACAGTGCAATATTTCTCAAGTATATTATACGGATTGTTCCCTATTTCGATCTCGATATTACGTGTTCCGTCGTGATTGTCGTGTGTTAGAAGGATTGTCAAGAGAATCAGCTCAGGTATGTTAAGGCTATCCCTTTTTTCTTTTTGGCATGATCCGTACGATACAAACGAAACGAGCAAATGCACAACTTTCATAAATGACTATATTCATAGAAGTACTAGAGATGCATATGCTCTTGATTCCCCATGTGTTCTATTATTCTATCATCTGTTCATGGGTCTAAGAAAATACGTAAGTTGATTAAGTTTACTTTATGACACTAATCAAAGGCATAATGGTCTTATGACGTTCCGAAAGGTTTTATTGACGTACTTCTCATGCATTGCATTCATTTATACATGTACATTGACCCATGACCAGATGACGTTATATACGCATATAAATGTATATTATATGTATATGGGATATGAAAAAAGGTTACGCCGTTATATACGCACCACCACCTGATCAGCTGGTATACGTTGATGATTTGTCCACAGTGGCCGAGATGATATGATGGGATGCCCTCAGATGCTTGATGATGTTATGAACGCATATACCTATGCATGGTATGATATTTATACGCATATGCATGACATTATAAATATAAAATAATTCACAGAGTTATTCAGACTTACATGTTGAGTCTTTTACTCCATGTTTCTCTCATGTCTATTACTTACTGATTTTCATTCCTTACATACTCGATACATTATTTGTACCGACGTCCCTTTTGCCTGGGGACGCTATGTTTTATGCATGCAGGTCCTGTTAGACAGGTTGAGGGTTCTCCAAGTAGGCTATCAGCTCAGCGGAAGGTGTTGGTGCTCTCCATTTGCTCCGGAGTTATTATTTGGTCAGTATGATTAGGACATATATTGATTGGTATGGCGGGGCTCTGTCCCGACCTTTATGACAATTATGTATTCTTAGAGGCTTGTAGATATATGTCATGTATATGAAAGAATGTATGGCTTTATCGGCCTATGTTTAGTGTACGAGTGATCATTTTGGTCTTATAGGCTTTATGTCTTATATATATGTCGAGTATTCTCTCATGTTTATTCTAGTTATCTCATGACAGCCTTTCTGACTCATTTACCAATGATATCATGATACGGAAAGATACGTCATATTGGTACTCGATTGAGTAAGGTATCGGGTGCTCGTCGCGGCCCATCGGTTTGGGTCGTGACAAAAGTAGTATCAGAGTAGTTATGTCTTAGGGAGTCTACAAGCCGTGTCTAGTAGAGTCTTATTTATGGGTGTGTTGTGCACCACATTTATAAGTAGGAGGCTATAGGGCATTTAGGACTGTCACTCTTCCTTCTTACTCTAGATCGTGTGGTAGAGCTCAGTATTAAGAACTCAATTTCCTAAACTCTATCTTGTTCATAATACGACGATACCTACATCTAGAAAGACAGATGGTAAGAGGTTGCATGTGGCTATGGAAGAGTTGAGTCATAGGAACTCGATTTTGCATGATGCTTATGATGAGTAAATGTAAGGTCTCCAGCAGATCATGTGTGTACTAAGATGTGTGAGCTTCTGAAAAAGGAGCCCTAAGGCATGAATATCTATCCACCCCTATGGTGAAAGACAATGAGAGATTCAGAAGCTAGATACCAGTTTCAACAAGTAAAAGAAGCAAGGTGAAGAAGGGTACGAGACGCCCAGTTAATGAAGATTATCAGTATTTACTATTCAAGCAGAAAAATATAAGCATTTTGAGTTACTTTCAACAGTAATATATGTATGTACAATTGGCCACACCCATCTCAGTTATGCCCTATGGGAGCTAATAAATATGGTTTGAGAGAAGGATGGGATATCAGGATCCGGTTGGGGTTAGAGTAACCCAAAATGGTAAATGGATTGTTTGCATTAGTTGACATTTCCGAAGGATATTGCAAATGTGCTAATAGATCTCCTTATGAGACACCCAGATGGTGCAATCTAGAATAGTACAGCTAGATATGAATACTAGAATGTTCAAAGATAGGCACTGTAATCCTGAAGGGATAAATATTACCTTAGTATGGCTCCCGTCCCTAGTAAAAAGAGAATGTTAGGCAACCCGAAGAGCCAATGGATGGAGCAAGGGGAGCTAAAAGCAAAAGAATGTCTTGTTCGAGTTTTTAAAATAAAGTGATAGACATAAATAATAGCAGGAAAATAAGAAGAGAGATAATGAAGCATTATGAGTAAGATGTGATACATGGATGATAACGGTAGATAAAAAAGATGACAGTATTACAGAGTCTATAGTCAAGTGAAGGAAAAGACGAGAGGTGACAGGCCTTGAGATAACAAAGAGTATAGGCTTTTAAGTCATATCCTCATTTCGAAAAATAAGTTCGTGACTCTAACGCGACTACCAGAAGGAAAAGTTAGACCCCAGAGTAATAGAAATCACTATGGGCTGGTGAACAAGATAAACTAAACATGAATTGGGGACTGAGTGATTTGATAATAGTCGACATCATGAGAATTTCAGATTGCATTCCGGCGATAATAGAATGGACAACAAAAGAATATTCATGAGAAATTCAGAGAAAGGTCATTCAGGAAGACGCTTCCCTAAAGCAAGCAATGTGAGCAAAGTTAATCTTAAGGGACTTTATGTGCCAGTTATACTAAGTGTCACCCTCGTGAGTAAGGAAATTTGTTATCCTTGGTACAAAAGGATTACCGCAAGGCGAGTAAGGGTCATCGATGATGACGCCAAAGATGAAGAGGTAAAACATCTATAGGTAGATCATCGCAGTGCTAAATCTTAGTACTCCCCTAAAGGGGAAATATGGAGTGATGTGACATTAAGTCAGAATTAAGTGGTTCCAATAATTATGGAATGGTAAAGGAAGAATGCGATAAAAAAATGAAAAAGGAATGAGCTTGCACTTATCCAAATCCTACAAATATGCTACGATTCCAGAACATTATGCAAGCACAACGTCAAGGAGAGGAAGTAAGGGTTTTTGCCCGAGATGTTATTGATAAATAAGGAGCCAGTGCGATACGTAAGTTAATACAAAGGAAATAACCCAAGAAAGATTATGCGAAATATTGATATGAAAATGGGCCAACGAGTAGTTAGTAGTTGATTCAGGAAGAGCCTAGTTATGGCTAGACAAGAGGATACAGACAAATCAGCAGATCATGCAAGATAAACGTAGTGAACCCCAGCATGTGGAATTCAGTCTCGCAGATATGACATCGTGATCCTTGAGAAATATTCAGATAGGAGTTGGGATAGTTAAAGGTACCGTATGAGTGTTACAGAAATAAAAGAGAGTCCTACTGGGAAGACAATCAAAATATCAGTTCAGAAGCAACCCTACAAGCACAAGGGCCTAGAGGTAAGTAACTACAGATAATTATAGGCGAGAAAGGACATCAAAAATTCTATCGGGTATACGACGTAATAAGCTCGCAGCTTTACAAGAGTCAGAGGGTCTTCCCTAAGTACTACAACAGAAGACTAGCTGAGGAGATAAGGAAGAAGGCTTCAACCTAAGCATAGTATCTTAAAGAAGAAATTGTCATATAAAAACAGTCTCACTACAAAATTGTATGCACTCCAAAGGAAAGTAGCACATACTGTGGCTAATGAACGGGAAGTAAAAATCAAAAGTAATATTCGAGGCCATATGAGTTGCACAAAATTTCCGGCATGCGTGGAAACTAAGATAAGCTAAGTATGCACGCAACAAGGGGGCCAAAAGAGTATAGGCCTAGTAATAGCTTACGTTTAAAGAAAGCTGAGAAGGAACGAAAGAAATTATTCGATCAATGATCCAGAGTTAGTTACGTTATGAACGCACTTAAGAGTTCGGAGTATTATCCATGCAATATATATGTTGACAATCATACAGCCGTAGAAGACTTTGGTATAAGCTAAAAAAAAGAATTGAGTCCAGATCATAGACAAGGGATTGAATTGTTAGATGATGGTATCCAGAGGCGGACCCAGGATTTGAGTATAACGGGGGCACCATTATCTTTAGTATCCCAATCACCAGCGATAAAGTTCGGGTGCAACTCTTTGAAATGACTATGATAATTTATCATCAAAATAAAAACATCAATATTATCAAATACCATTAACTTGATACTAATATAACAAAAGTATATTGTCCACTCATAGTTGAACTTGGCGCGCTTTCATATTTTGAAAACGGTCAATAATAGCATCATTGCTTATATTTATAAATACTTCCTTCTCAAAGTAACAAACTAAACAATCATTTAAAAATGCATCACTAATAATACTACGCAATTCATCTTTGATGTACTTCATGGATGAGAATGCTCTTTCTACCGTTACAGTTGTGACATGTAAAATTAAATTCAACTTCACAAGCAAATAAAGAAGTGAATAAATCTCCACAAGATTTGCCTCAACCAATGCTTTTGCCAAATCACCAATTCCTTTCAAATCAGAGAACCTAGGGTCACCATGTTGCATGTGCCATATGAAAGTGTCAAGTTGGCGACTAAGATCTCGAAGCTTTAATTCACCAAACTCATCGGGATAATGCTTGGCCAATGTCATTATTCTTTTCTTATCAAAATTAGCAAATGAGTTAGCCGGATTCAAACTAGACATACCAAGAAGCAAGTTACTACTCACAATATCAAAATGACTATTTAGCTCCAGAAGTTGCAAATCAATCACTGCATAAAAAAGCTCAACACGTAAGTGATGTGAATAAGTAACACTAAAAGGCTTACGCTTCGACTTTCCAGGAATATAGAATTCTTCCATCTTGGGCACCAAAATATCATGTTTCGCACAAAATGAAGATACTTCATCCATCAATGGTTCCCATCCTTCATCTCTCATTTCCTGCAACCTTTCCTTTGTGATATCAAGAAATACCGTGGCATTGACAATATCTTGCTCTTTCTTCTGTAATGCTTTGCTCAACTCATTTGACATTATCAACACTTTCAACAATAAGTAAAGCAAGAAAACAAAATTAAATGCTTTAATTTTACTCGAAAAAGCTTCTGCTTGCAACCTATCATTAACATCACCTTCACATTCAATCACCCCAAGCACATGAACAATAGAAGAAAATAAAATAATAAAGTTATCCAATGTTTTATAATATGATCCCTAGCGAGTGTCACCTGGCCTTTGAAGCCCTCGCTCTTGATTTAATCCTTTTCCACTTTGAACTTCACCACTATCTAGCAATTGCTCCAACAATTCTGCTTGATGTTTCCGAAGTTGATCTCTACATTTAAAATAAACTCCAATCACATTCAATACGTTAGTAATAATAGCAAAGAAAGTCTCCACCGCTTTGTGTTTTTTAGCAATAGCTACAAGCGTCAGCTGTAATTGATGAGCAAAACAATGAACGGAATATGCCGATGGAGTTACTTGCAAAATTAAAGCTTTAAAACCATTCATCTTTCCCTGCATATTACTAGCCCCATCATATCCTTGTCCACATATTTTGGATGGACTTAATGAGTGTTTCATTAGCAAAGAAAGTACTGCTTCTTTCAATGACTTTGCAGATGTATCACTAACACAAACAAGACCAATAAATGGCTCGTTCACTTGGCCTTTTTTGTCAACATACCGCAAAGTAAGGGACATTTGCTCATGGTGTGAAATATCCTTGGACTTATCAACTAATATCCCAAAATATTCTCCATTTAGGTCATCAATTATAGCTTTCACGGTCTCTTGTGCACAAGCATTCACAATATCCTTTTGAATTTTTGGCGAAGTCATCATATAATCTTTTGGAGCATGTTTTAATATAACTCTATCTACATCTGGAAGCCTATTTCCAAGCCATTCCAAAACCCTATAAAAAGGCCTTTATTTTTTGAAGATTTACTTTCATCGTGACTTCGAAAAGTCAATCCAAAGTCCAAGAGAAACCTTGCAACATCGATTGAGGCATTTAAACGAATTCGATATTCACTTTTTTGTTTCTCAGATTACTTTTCAAAAGCAGATTGAATTGATTGAGATTGATTTAACAAGTCTAGCATTTTGTTGAAACACTTATGGTGGAGGCTATTTAATTCACCAACATATAGACCAAGTCTTTTGGGTCTTTTATTCCAAGCCTTAAAGCTGGTTTTTGTGAAAGAGTCACACATGCTACCATGAACGTAATCATTTTTGAATAGATAACAACATAAAAACAAATACAGCATCTTTCTTCACACTATACTCTAACCATCTAGAATGTGAAAAACCAACCCGAACTAAATTGGCACATTTTTTTCCCAAATAAAGTTTTAGGAAATTTATGATAAGCTGGTTGGCAAGGCCCTCTTTGGATGTAGTGTCTTCTCACTTCATCCCGTATTCTGGAGCTATATCTATCAATGGGTATTCTCTCTCCGGGGTTAGGATTAAGTGATTTCATATCAAACTCCTCTACAAGATGGGAGGAATTGTCTCTAAAACTAGAACTTTGTTGAGAAAAATTAAATCTCGTCAAAAATATGTCCATCTCAATTCACATCAACAAAACTTCCTACAAAGCAACAATGCCAAGCAAAACAACATTTTTAATATGATTAATCACACTCCTTATATTAATAGTAGAATATAAATAATATATAATAGAGGAATCACACCCCTTATATCAAGAACAAAGTAAAGAGAATATTTCTAATAGGAGAATCATGCTCCTTCCATCAGGAACAAAGCAAAACAAATATTTCTAATAGGGCAATCACACCCATTCCATGAAGATTAAAGTAAAGAAAATATTTCTAGTAGGGAAATCACACCCCTTTTATCACGAACAAAAGCAAATATAATATTTCTAAATTGGGAATCACACCCCTATATTTTATTATAAGTCATAATTCATAACTATATTATTATTATCTTAAAGATAGAAGGAACATTTACCAATTTGTGAAAGTTATCCTTGAAACCCAAATACAGCTTGGTTTTAAATCATTCACTTCACTAAAACAATATTTCAAATAGCATTAACACAAAATCTTCAAATACCTATGAAATTAATTTATTAAGATAAAAGAATTAGCACACCAACTAAAGATTTAACATCATGTAAATGTGCACCATGATTGTTGTCTGCTCAAACAATGAATTCAAAAACTAAAAGAATAATAGCGAATTCAAAAACTAAAAAAAGTATCCTTGAAATCCGAATGGCAAATACAATTTGGTTTCTTGCAAAAGAACTCCAGAAAATTAAGCTAACAAAAAGAGGAATTTACAGGAGCACTTTACTCATCAATTATTTGTTCAAACTAAGTGCTACTAATTGGATTTGCATTTGATGGTGTTAGTGAAAAGGGATATTTTGAATGGTGAAGAAAGTAAATTTGTTCATAAGCCATAACTCATAACCAATCTAGGTCAAAATCATAAAAATCAAAAAAACAATATTTGTAAAAAGAAGAAAAACTTACTCAAATAATCAAAGATTTGAAGAAGAGTTTCCCTCACCTAATAGAATTGTGGGATTCGAAGTTCAAAGGGATGCAAAGAAGTGAAGAACTGAAAAGAAGGTTGAAGTTGAAGGGAGGCAGAGAAGCTGAGAAGGTTTGTTTCTTGGAGAAAAAAGAGGGTTTATTTTCGGATCTTTGAGGGGGTTAAAAAATATTAAGCTATTTAAGTCTTAAGTTAAAAAGTAAAAATAAAATAATATGGATTGTAGAACCCCAGATTCGAACCTGGGTCATCAGGCAAAAGATGGCTGCGGAGCACTTTCACAAACCAACTCTTCTGTACGGCCTTTGTGACTTAGGGGAAGGGGGGGCATTAAATATTTAAAGGGGTCCTCCGTATATTAATAGATATATATAAATATATATATATATATATATATATATATATACAATATTTTTGCCGAGGCCAATGTGTTCCGGTGACCCCCCACCCCCTAGCGTAGGTCCGCCCCTGATGGTATCACGAATATTCCATAGCGTCTATGAAAGGCTAAAGTAATAACTAATACCATGAGCTGTAGATTGGAAGATAACTTAAGCCTACATAAAGGCTGATCAGAAGGAAGAGGAAACTAAAGAGTTACATCAACGAAGTAAATCAGGAGTCTGATCATTGGACCCAGAAAATTATAGACATCATGATTGAGAACATTGCAGAATCACTTTTAATATCAGAGGTACAAGAGAGATAGTACAATAACCATATTCTATAACGGCCCTACATTAGAGCCAGTTAGTAAAGTACCAGCCTCATAAGAAGTCAGTATGAAGCTCCCACCGGATTGTGTATGCACCAGAGGTGCAAGTATTATAATAGAGCTTCAAATTGTGGATGTGAATTATACCTGTGTGAAAGCAAGTTCATGAAAGAGATAGAAGATGTGATGCGAGATTTTAAGGTAAATAAGGTAAAGGTGAATAACATACGAGATACTCAAATGCAGAAGGTTGCGAATAATCCATACTGTAGTTAGAAGGCTGGAAGCATTGGGATTCAGTATCCAGGAATGGTAGCGGCGTCGTCAATGGCATATCTTCCAGCCTATGGGTTCTAGGTATCGAGATGCCTAGTCAAGAGAGTAAAGAAGAGTTAGAGATGATGTGATGTCTCGCTTGATGTTCCAGAATAACATAAGGAAATCTATGGTACAAGCAAGTTGAAGGAAGGTTGCAAGTAGTATAAATAGATATATGTAGGTCGCAAGCTAAAGTATGGTGGAGCGACAAGGTTTTAGGAAGACAGGAGTAAGGATAAGAAAATGTGAGTGAGAAGGTGACGAGAATGGATAAGTTCTCGGGATTAAGCCCCTGAAAACAAGAGAGCTGATGGGTTCTTTCAAGTTATAGAAAGCTCAGTATAGCCTGAATGAACTCAAAGGAGTCTAAGACTAATAGTATTTAGAAGAGATGGAATGTTGCCCTGGTAATAGAATAAGGGTGTAATTGTGATAGGTAAAAGATGACGTTTGGGCCTTCGATTGAGTAATGATTTGAAGAAAAAAAATGGATTTCATGAATTACACAGGATTAAAATATCCACTTAAGGTAAATCGCATTAGGATGCTATGAAGTACGGTTATGGAAGTATAGTATCGTATCGCCCTCAGGTGGATCAGAAAAATTACTTTAAATGTTTCACGATGCAACGTGAGCCCTAGTGATTACATAAAAGGTCAAGGTATAAATGGTAGATTATAGATCAATATTGAGGTGAATCAACAATGGATAGATAAAAGTTACAAAGTATGAGATGAGATTAGGCCGTCATTCTTAAGATGAACAGTAATGAGGAAGCATTAAAGGATTTAGACTTATACATATAGGATAAGCAATGAGAGTAAGCTGGAGTTTGGTAGCATACCTTAGTAACAATAAATCGAAGTAAGAATTATGGTATAGTATGACCTACCTAGATGCAGTAAAGTCATACGGATGGATAACTGGGTCTATGAAATAAGATATAACAATATTCGTAAGTTCGACAAAGTACCGAGAGAAGAACTTCAGTATACCTATAGATGCCCAGAGGGATATCTTATCAAGCTCTGTATATGTTTACAAAGTGAGGCCTAGAGATTGGCTAAAAGCTGGAGGAAAAAGGAGAGAAGAGTCGCATAGGCACATTTACAAGGTCAGAGTCGTACATGCTGCATGATAGAAGGTAGCAACAGTTACGAGATTGAAAGGATTCCGACCACAAGTCGTGGTGTGAGAAAGGGGCCTAAAGGGGGGAATGCCTTGGCCTTTGGAATTATTCACAGAACAATTGCCTAGGTGGCAAGGAGAGTACCGAACTATTCAGAAGACATAAGTTATGAAAATAATAAGTGTATCAGTCAACATTCGAGGACGAATGTTCTAAAGGGAGGAATGATGTTACATCCCATATTTTCTTACATGAAAGTACGTTAAAGTTTCGTCGTAAGTTAATCGACGTAAGCTCGGGAATGAGATTATTTTGAGATTATAAGCATTATGCTATTTCAAACAAGTGATAAGTGAATTCGTGAAGGTGAGAGAGTAAGTAAATCGAAGAAAATGAGTTTCGTCGAAGTTTGACATTTTGAGGTACAAGCTATAATACCTCGTATTTATGGACTAGTACGATACAAGTTACCACATGACTATGATAGTAAGATATATAAAGTGTGTTAAAAGTGAGTAGTATTTTAAGTAATTTAAGATAATTCTTAATTATGTGGGTAACTGGTTAATTATTGGTTAATGAAAGATTAACTAGTTAACTAAGAATTGGTGGTTAATTAATTAAGAACCTTGGATAAGACCAAGGAACCCTAACGTGGCAGCCCAAGTAATGAATAAGATTCATTACATTAGGTGGCCTAATTAGGGACCTTTAGGAAAGGATTAGTCATCCTAAGTGGGGCCCACCTAAAGGTTAAAGGTAACCTTTCTAGATCACAAAAATCAATTGCTCATCTCTTAAGAAAGAACTTCAGCAAGGATAAATTTTGCAATAGCAACGTTGTTAATTGCTCATCTCTTAAGAAAGAACTTCAGCAAGGATAAATTTTGCAATAGCAACGTTGTTAATTGCTCATCTCTTAAGAAAAAGCTTCATCAAGGATAAATTTTGCAATAGCAACGTTATTAATTGCTCACATCTTAAGAAAAAGCTTCATCAAGGATAAATTTTGCAATAGCAACGTTATTAATTGCTCACATCTTAAGAAAAAGCTTCAGCAAGGATACTTTTACAATAACAATGTTATTGCTTCAAGCATTTCATATGAAGACTACTTAATATTATAGTAACGTGGGATTTGC